ATTCTTCTACATCCCAGACAACATCAGGACCATGATCATGAACTACTACCAGGACATGCACATGTGCTTTGCACTGAAGAAAGTCATCACTGGTTGGCAACAACTGGAAGTAGGGATCGCAATGGGATGCTCCATTTCTCCCATCCTCTTCGTGGCAGCGTTTGAGGTCATCCTGATCGGGGCAAGGCAGGTGGTGGGTGGGGTCCGGCTGCCTGCAGGTCAGAGGCTCCCGCCCCTAAGGAGTTATATGGACGACATCACCTGTCTGCTACGAACCACCCCATGTACAACCAGGCTGCTTAAAAGGCTGGATGAGCTGATCCTCAAGGACCTGGGACTACGGGGAGCCACACTGAGCAGATCCACCAAAGAGCTCTCTGAGGAAGCGGCGAAAGCAAGCCACTGGCTCTGGCTGAAACGACGAGACAAGGCTTGGGGAGTAACATCGAATTAGGTTTTGCTGCAGGGGGTGTCAGGGAGACCTCCCTGTTCACTGCCCCGCCACCAGGAGACGTTCTGGGTTAAGGGGCGAAACGTCAATGAGCGGTGGTTCCCAGCTGAAGACCCTGCAGAAAACCACGTGGTATGTGGTCAGGTTTAGGCCTGCCTCAGGGAAGAGGACGCCCCTGCCATGCATAGTCCACCATAGGCACCGTAGGAGGTGCGACAGGCCTAAGGTCCAGCAGAAAGACCACCTCGCTGTAATGAATAATATATATTATTGTAATCCTATACAATAATTTAACTAAATTTGTTTTACTCCAATGTTATTCTGTAGTGGGTAAAGGGTCGCACATTTATAGGAAAAAAGCTTGCGTCCACATTGGAAAATTAGTTGAATAGGAGTTTGTGGTTCAGATATGACCTACTGTGTTACCTATTCCAGCTTTACTAGTAAATACTCATTAGGTGCAAGTATGTGTTCCAGTAGTTTAGACTGACTAGTACTAACTGAAGACAACCTAGCATGAATTTACTGGACACTGGGATGTAGGGCTGTCAAATTAAATTTCGAATTTCGAATATTTGTCGAATTCAAAATAAAAATCCACAATCTAATGCAAAAACGTTGCATTTGAATTTTAGGTGTAAGTCAGGCAGCCTTATCAGTGGAACATGAGATGTGATGACAATGTAGGTGTCATTGCATTTTAATGCTTTTGTTAGTCTATCCAGTTGAATCCACTAGATGCGGCGCTGCTCATTCAAAATACTGCGGACAAAGAGAACATCAATGCAGAGAAGATCTACGGCAAAAAAGTCATTCACACAGAGCACATATTTATAAAATTTTCTATAGGGACATCTATTACCGTTGCACTTGCGTCTGCACAGTTCAACTTTTTAAAAAACACGTCTCGAGACTTTATGGTGGTTTTTCCCCATCCCACTTCATCTCATGTTTTTAAATGAAAAAAAAAACTCTTTGTGATTAGTTTTCAGTCCTTTGTATTAAACTATACATATATTATGCTGTTTTGTTTCTGATTGTTTAAGCAACTTTACAACAACTTATATTTGGTTTATACTAGGGCTGTCAAAACTAACACGTTAACGCGGTAACACAAATTAATTTTAACGGCACTAATTTTATGAACGCGCGATTAACACAGCGCGCATTTTCTGTTTGACCCGTGGCCTAACCCGTAGTTGGAGAAATGGAGATGCACAGTGTTGCCAACGTTGCGACTTTGCCGCTAGATTTAGCGACTTTTCAGAATCCTTTAGCGACTTTTTTTTTTTTAATGCCTAGCGATAAATCTTTAGGGTTTGCCCAAACCTTATTTAGTTTCTGAGACTCACCAGTACTGCCGCACGAGCGCAAGGTCTTTACCGCAGTGCACACACCTCTTTCTCTGCGTCTGCTCTGTTCCGCGAGTGGCTGAGAGGAGCAGCGCTTTCAGCTAAAACACATTATGTTGCTTCTCTAATTGTACATGCAAGTATAGGTGAAATCGCAGCACAGCTATTGTCTTTAACTTATGGGTATTTGATTTAATCAGACTGGAGGTCAACCGATATGGGATTTTCACTGGCCGATGCCGATATTTAGAAATCAGGGCAGCCGATGGCCGATTTTTTTGGCCGATATGTCTGGCCGGTTTTCTTTTTTTTCTCCCATTCGTCTCATAAAAGTGAGTTTGAGCAAATGATTATTGCAGGGTACAAGATAGTAATAGTAGTAGTAGCCCAATTTAGATTAATAATACATGGCTCAAAACTTAAGCACCTTCTCAAAACAGTTCTGAAGCATGCTTTTTGTTTATGTTTGCTGACAGACACCAGTGTTTCCCACAGACTGCAAATTAATTATCTGCCAGCAGGAGGCGCTGCTGGAGTGAGAGATATAGCGGTTTCCCCAGTAACGGCTGTAATCAAATCAGCATTGCGCTCACAAATGCTACTTTATCAGGCATTACAGGAAAGACTAAATGAAAATGACATTGAAGCTTTTCTGAAGACAGTCGGCTCTTTTTAAAGATACATTCATTTAAAAACACCCGCGCTGTATTTTAATTTTGAAATGTGAAGCGCTCATTTTATTCAGCGAAGTATAAGCCTTTTGGAAAATCTATATGTGGTGGTCAGTTTTGATATTGTGATGAGCCGCCACAAATAACTCAATGTATAGAAAACACTGGACACTGCTATTAGTCAAATGGCCATAGTGATAACAAAAATAAAAGCTCTCACACATATTACACAGCCTGCTGCTCATAATTGCTTAAGAGTGCGCTGGCCACGAGTGATGACATCGTGGCGGCTATTGTCGGACCCACACACACATTTCATGAGGAAAGTTAACGTGCACTTTGTAATCCGCCCAGAAGTTTCGTCTGAATTGAACGTGTTTCTACTTTCACATGCAAATGACTTGTTGCACTTATGAATATGATAACTTTCCGGCATCAATTCTAGTAAGGTAAAATGTAATTCCGCTTTCGAAACGGTCTGTTTTGCCCTGCCATTAGCTGAAGCTGTGTATGAACAAGCCTCGGCTGCAGAGTGTGAGCTGCTCCGTCTCACGCAGCCTCACAGGGAGTTCCGCAACAACGCTTAGCTGCCCGCAGATGCATGGAAAATCTATATGTGGTGGTCAGTTTTGATATTGTGATGAGCCGCCACAAATAACTCAATGTATAGAAAACACTGGACACTGCTATTAGTCAAATGGCCATAGTGATAACAAAAATAAAAGCTCTCACACATATTACACAGCCTGCTGCTCATAATTGCTTAAGAGTGCGCTGGCCACGAGTGATGACATCGTGGCGGCTATTGTCGGACCCACACACACATTTCATGAGGAAAGTTAACGTGCACTTTGTAATCCGCCCAGAAGTTTCGTCTGAATTGAACGTGTTTCTACTTTCACATGCAAATGACTTGTTGCACTTATGAATATGATAACTTTCCGGCATCAATTCTAGTAAGGTAAAATGTAATTCCGCTTTCGAAACGGTCTGTTTTGCCCTGCCATTAGCTGAAGCTGTGTATGAACAAGCCTCGGCTGCAGAGTGTGAGCTGCTCCGTCTCACGCAGCCTCACAGGGAGTTCCGCAACAACGCTTAGCTGCCCGCAGATGCACCTGCCTATAAATCGGCCTAATTTGCAGCACATTAGGTCAATGGCAATTAATTTAAAAATGCCAAAAATCAGCCGATCAATCGGTCGACCTCTACATCAGACGACGGCTCGATTATAAATTTTGTGCAGATGAACATCTTGGAAGGGAGAGCTGGTTATGGTTATGTAGTCTTAATGGGTCGCGTTTCAGTCACTATTTCATATTCATTCCGTTGTCTGACAATGACAGTTTTATTGAGAATTTAGCTGCATCAAAATACAGTATGTGGGCACAGAGAGGCAAACAAATGTAATAATAAATAATAAATGTACAGCATGTTCAGAAGAAGTGAGCTGTCCTTGTCATGCGAAAATGTAAACAGGCTTGTGTAAGTAAATTGCTCAGTGCAAATAAAGAGAAGTAATAGGAACCTGGTATTTCTATGTTCTTTTTTCAAGTGTCTAATAGACATGAACAAGTTCTTTGAAAAACATCTATGACCTATGAAACATGTCTAGTCTTCATGCTCTATGTTGACTTTGGTTTCACTAATAATAAACATTAAGTTGTGATTAATCACAAGTTAACTCATGGCAATCATGCGATTAATCTTGATTAAATATTTTAACTGATTGACAGCCCTAGTTTATACACATTATTTTAAACACACTGCACTTTTTTTTGAAGATGGTCGTGTTATTTTATTACAGGAGAGAAGCCAAAAGCCCCCCCACCCTAACTGAAATCATGCTTTTTAACTTTGAATACAATTTGAATATTGATATTATTTAAGTGCAAAATTCGAATTTAGTTTTTCAGCCATTTTGACAGCCCTACTGGGATGCATTATAATTGTTGCTGGTAACACTTGTAATCTTATATGAAGTGCTTTTATTGAACTACAGCAATACTGTAATTCATGCTATCAATTCTAAAAAAAAGCAACTGTGATTAGTAAAATACAAAATGTTAATAGCAAGAAATCGAGATAGATATTACTGTGTAATAAACAAGGTGAGTAGACATAGAAAAAAAGCATAACTAGTAAGAAGTGAATAGTTGATACAGATTAACCACACTGTGAAATTAATTACTAGCAACAAAGCAACATTTACTTGTCACTGGTGGGACAGTGACTAGCAGAAAAGTCTAACATTGAAATACACGAGTAGTGACTAACTGAACAGATACTAATCAGTACTAGTATATGAATGAATGAGAATTATTAGAGTGAATACATGTTAGACCGGCTTGCCATACGTTTCCAACATCAAGCGTTTAGGATGGGCGGTGGTTAATGTGTGACTGTGTGTTTTTACAAGTCGTTTTTGATGCAGTGCTGAGTGTAAGAATGCAACAGTAATTGAGAATCCGCAGACAAATGCTGCACGACTGTCGCGTGGTGAAACAAAGTGCAATTTCGCCACCCTACCTTCCGACGCTTCCAGAATTGACCCACATGCCAGTCCTCGAGTGATTCCCCCCTGGCTCCCGTTAAACCGGGTGCAGGAGATCAAATAAAACCGTTAAATGACTGAGACGTCTCTGGAAAACTCGCGACTGTTTTGTGTTCAACACAAAGGCAGCATCTTCACACTCGCCTCCCCTGCAGAGCTAAAAGAGATCCCCTGAAACAAGTTTGCAGAATGCAGTGAAGAACCTCAACCGTTAAGTGTGCTACATCTATCCCTCGCTCTCTCAACGATACCTCTTTTCCTGAAATGACTGACATTTATAGGTAAGCTCTCATTTTGGGGCGTTCGTTGGTGTGTTATTGTTTCTACAGCTGATTTCGCCAATGACACGCCCCTCCACGTGCGTCACGAAAACTGAACTCACCCCGAATCCGTGTAACTGTGACTGGCAGCCAATCAAATTCATCGCAGCCGATGGCCCCGCCCCGTCTGGAAAACTCGGCCCGTTAACCCACAACCTACCAGTCATTTGTTTAGACTCAAACATGCTCTGCCAGGCGGAGGGGTTACAAACGTTTTCTACGGCAGAACACATTGTAGTTGCGTTTGAAAAACTAGTGCCATCCACTGAATTACTGGTGCGGATATTCAACAGATGCTTACGTTATTTTATTACGAAAGCACGCGTAACATAAGGTTTTAGTCACATAGGTATTGTATATTTGCGTGTCACTATATATAATCCATTGACAGATGGCAGACCGGTGCACTGCAGTGTTTCGTTCTACACTCTTCTTTATCGTAAATGATAAAATTGTAAAACCAAGATGCTATTAAATTCACAATTAAATTTCCACATAAGAGTGACAGCTGCACAATAAATATAAAATAAAATGATGCACAGTGCTTTTATCAAACAGAAAGCCTCTCTTTTTCAACAAAAATCGAGATGGACACTAAGCATAGGCTACTATAGGATAGTGTGTGTGTGTCCTTTAGGGGGTCTTAAATGTATTTAAAATAAATTAACATTATAATAGCCTATTAAAATGATTTAAAAGTGTTAAATCTGCTATAAAAATATAAGTGCAGCATATAATGTGTACACTGTAAAAAATGACCGTGAATTTAATGGTAAAAGACTGTAAAAATGCTACAGTAAAAACCTGTTAAACGGTTAATGGTAAATTCCCCTACTATATACGGTGAAAAACTGTATTGGACATTACATGTATTGGACATTAATTTTACGGTAGTATACCGTTTTTGGAAGTGAAATAGGTCGTATAATTTACAGTGAATAACCGTAAATTGACATTCCCAGAATTCCCTGCGTTACATTTCAAATTTGATGTTTTTTTGTTGATCTATGTTTCTTCTTAGTTTTTTCTTATCAGTTTTGTATATTAGGGTTGTGTGTTACACCTAATGTTGTTAAATTAATGTTTATTGCATTATTTCAGTTTCATGTGTGTTACCGTGATGGTGTTTAGTGTTTGTGTGAATGACACGGCGCACCTTCTATATATGTTATTATTTAGAAGCTACTTGTGATGGGCTTTGGTTCATCATGTGACTTTCTCATCACAACCTGCATTTGGTGGTTATCAGTGTATTACAAAGGTACAAAACAGATGTCAGTGCTTCAATAGGTTGGTATATAATAACATTTTATCAGTTAATGAAATTACGGTTATTGACTGTAAATTTAAGTTAAAACCGTAAAACCTAAAACGTTGCTACCGTATTTTTTACGGTAAAATTCCGGTAACCACAGCTGCCGGTTTTTTACCGTAAATTTTACGGATTTTTTTTTACAGTGTAACATCTCTTACACTGGAGAAAAACACTAAGCTCACACTGTGAATTTTCTTTTTTCTTCAGATTTTTTTTTTCTTTCTTTTTTCTTTTTTGGTTTTGCCTGCAGCATCCAGGCTTGGCAAACAATATTAAGACTTTTTAATGCCATTTAAGACATTTAATGGCTTTCAACAATTGAGGATCTAAAACATTTGTATTGGCAAATTCTGTGGGATTGTTTGATATTTGATTAGGCTACTCTTCAGATATATTTACACATGTTATGTTTAACATCATTATGTTAAGCAGTTAATGTCAATAAAAAAAGTTACACATAATAAAAACAAGCTTAGCTTATGTTTTATTATTATTATTATTATAATTTCAGCAAAAGTACAAGAACAATAATTATTGTTTGGGGAGATATGAATAATAAACTTTTATCATTTTATGGCGTATAGTGGAACTCATTTGTCCCTGTGATAGTCTAAAACTGACACAGCAAGTAATAAACACTGACCTCTAGTGATTTATACTGGTATAAAACACAACACAGACCTTTAGATTGTGCAGAGAAAGAGAAAAAAGATCACCCAACTGCATAGTGTTCCCGTTTTTATAGTATTCAAACTTGGACTATATTCACTGAAACAATGAGCACTTAAAAAAACTTCTCTCTTCTCAAACATCCAGGCTGCGGATGTGGTTGGACCATGATGTCATTGCACAAAGTCTTTCAGTGATGTCAGTCACAGATTTTAGTGAAGCACAAACAGACCCTGTTCCCACACTTCAGTCAATGCAGCCCTTTCTGCCATCCATCTCAGACCCAGCTGGACTCTAGCAGCCATGCCAGTGCCAGTGCAACAGCGGGCCCTGAGAAAGTGATGCCCCTTTGGCCCCTCTGGAGCCCCCGGAATGAGAGTGAGAGACGGAGAATCGAGAGAGACGTGCAACTCGCAACTATGAACATGTGGGCATTGTGGGATTTGTCTATGAAAGGGTTTAAATGGAATGATGTATTATGAGGTGAGGTTAGTGAAAGTGTCTGAGCCTGTAATTTACAGTCAGGCTTCTTATACTGACATTATGACAGTGCAAAGCAAAGGAAATGGAGAGCAGAAACATAAATTAGACTGGGTGGATGAAGGGTGAGCCTGGGAAACATTATGAGGTGTCTCCTGCTGAGCTGAGCTATGTTTGTTATTGTGGCTTGTGGATGTGAGCGCAGGTCATGAGCACACACACATTTAGACATACATGCACATTAAAATGTTTTTTTTAACCTTTTCCATTCTCTTTTAAACAAACTTGCACATACTCTCACTTGGCATAAACATGTTAACAAGCATCCACTGTGTATTTAAGGTGGCTGGCCCTTACAAATTGTGTTCATGCTCACACTGTATGTTCAGCTATCATAACCGGATGCGTAACACTTTCTATTGCAAACATATTCAGCTTCAGACTAGGCAAAGTAGGTCAGACCTGTTATACAATGGGGAATCTTTTTAAGGAGCATAAATGCAATGAAGTTGATCCGCAAAAAGGCATAGACAGGAAGTCATAGGACGGCAGTAAATCAGTACAGCGATACCAGCGGACACACTGTCATCACAAGTGGGAACAGGGAAATGTATGCTGCACACTCACTCCTGTCAGCTTGTGTTCAAGAAGGGGTAAGACACAAAGTCTCCAAACAAGTCCTTAAGCGCATAATGTGGAGAAAAAGATGAGATTGACATTCTGAGAACGGGGGGAGGTTTCCTGGTATCAGTCCATAAACAGTGGCATGGTGTTGCCCATGTGAGAGGCTTGCGAGGTTGTGTGCAGGACATCTAAACAAAGATAAGATTTATAAAAACAACGCAGAGAAAATGAGAGAAAAGGGGAATGAGTGTAGAATGAAAGGGGATAAAGAAAGAATGCTTAGATATATGGCCATTAATTAAAGTTTTGCTATACACTGTAAAATCCATAAAAATATGCCTCAATGTACTGCATTATGAAGGAATTTTCCATATTTTTAAAAGGTGTTTTAGCTGTATTTTGCATTTTGCTCTTCGTTGCGTTGTGTATTATGGGTTAAAGGAAATGTCCTTAAAATTATTGTCCTGGCAGAAAATTATGGTAACACTTTAGTATAGGGACCAATTCTCATTATGTTGCTTATTAGCAAGTCTATTAATAAGATATTGGCTGTTTATAAAGTGTACTTATAAAGCACATATTCTGCATGACCATATTCTACATCCCTAACACTACACAATACCTAAACTACCTAACTAACTATTAATAAGCAGCAAATTAGGAGTTTATTGAGGCAAAAGTCGTAGAAAATGGTTTGGACTTTAAAATAAAATGTGACCAAAATAACTTTTTCCCAGTGTAATTATTACGAACTTGATCATCTTCCATGAAGAGGGGAGACACAGTTATATTCAAAATAGATTATAATCTATACAGAACCAAAACTCAAAAGTGTAGCTATAAATTACTTAAGTCAGAAATGATTAATCGAAATGAATTCAGTCAGGTTTAATGAACAGAAAGTTTAGGAGTACATTTATTGGAGATTACAGGGGTATGATGGGAGGTGGGCACAGAGGGGAGAATGTGAGACAGACTTTATCTCCACAACACTGGGACAGGCCACACTCTCTTATCAACACACAATTTCAAGCTCTCCAAGCATGTTAACACTGTGAGTTCATGCCAGCTGTATATACATACTGTTCTGATTTATAGCACACTAGGTGCCAACTTTCTTCCAAAGTTGCATTCTCATACAGTGGTATCTTTTCTTTTGAACACTGGGAGGACCCATTTTAATAGCATTAAAGTGATAATTGCATGTAATATGAGCATTTTGTGATATAGTAGGGAGTGTTTGATCTGCAAAGCATCTATAGAGTAATAAATAGTCTAAGTGCTGTGATGAGTGACTCAGTTAATGATTTTATGTATATTGTGTTTATTTCAGAAACCTTGAAGTTTTCCACTATCCTAAAATATATTCACACCTCTTCAAATATGTTGTCATATACATCAGTCTTCCCACTGACATAATGCAGCTTGTGTCAGGTCATCACACACAACCGCACCTACAAACTATATCGATTTCATTTGTACAATCTCAATATTTATTCTTTAAATGGTAAAACATCTACTACTAATAAAATTTATAGTTTCACAAATTAGAAGGTTCCCTGTTTCAGAGTTTCTTGAATCACTTTCTAGCAGTTTAACTTCCCTGCTAATGAATCACTGCATTGCTGAATCGCTGGTGCCAATAAATCATATTTTAACAAGTCGTGAATTCGAGTTTACAGCCTGTATTGAATGTGATGCATTAAAATCACTGAGTACAGGAAAATAACTGCACAAAACAGCTATTGAGTCCACATGCAAAAAGGTTAAATGGCAAACAAATGACTCTTATGAGCCAGTTCTTTTTAGTAAATCAAAAACATACGTGTTGTCCGATTCCTGAAATTAACGGCTCTTAT